GACCCTTTTTCTTCGCCTCATTAAAAATCTTCACGTACCAAGGCAGGTAGACAAGGTTCACCAAAATGAAAAGCAACGCTCGATTTAAATGATTTCCAAATTCGTCCTCTCCGTGAATTAGACTCGTTAGTTTCCGATGCGAGTATTTATTACGATCAATCTCTTAAATTAACCGGTTCACAAACAGAGTTAGATTTGAGCTTGCGAGTTTCTAAAGGGACTACTACCTTTCACAGTCACTGCGGTAGTCTTCTCTGTTCACCTACTGAAAGATCAAATCTGCGTAGAATTTGTATCATATTTTGCGAAGCGATCTTTGGTACTTCCGGGAAACCAAGCGCCAGCATCCGTGTTATACGGATCGGTCACGTCTGGTAGAATCAAACCACGTAAACTTGTATCCACTGAAGTTCGATATTGTTAACTTCGAAAATGCACTTTGACGTAGGTCCTAACTTGAAGTATGTAGTTAGGTGGGACGCCGTGGTGGATGCAGTATCGGCCGTATTGCTCGCTGGTTTTTTTTTCATTTATCGGCGTACTCTATTGCATTGCTATTTGAAAGATCTCATCGCTCATATGACTCGTAATACATGCGATGCTCGTAATATATACGGTGCGCAAGAGAACGCGATCACTGGCCAATCGTTTCCCGTCAAAATAGCGTACGTCATTTGTCACTGATTATAGATCCAACCGATCCGCCATTTGAGTGATGACGGGTTTTCTCTCGACCTGTAACCAATGAAACAACGTCTCTGGTGAACGCACGCAGTAACTTTACAACTTTTACCGTGTGCGTCTAGCTTTCTCGTATGACCATCTTGTTCATCGGACATTTCCTGGAGTAAAGTTCGATGTAATGAAACGATATCTTGATATATGAAACGACGATCCTTGCAGCTTGCCTTGTTTTTCGAAGGTATTTCCTAGTGTATGACTGTGAACCTCGTGAAGCGAAAATCGTAATCTTTTACCGAGTGAAAACCTGGACTATCTCCGAGCGCACGAATGTCTGTCGAAGCTGTCCATTTTTTCCCTGCTCCGTGTAAGTACAGAGATAGTACTGATCGTCGCCTATAACAACTTTGCCGAAGAATCTGCTTATTGTTTGCGTGTCGCTTGGTACCAATTGAGATGCTGAGCGCATTGTGTCCCTTACTCAGTCCATGGGGCGTCCAAACATCTATTTTCGATAAAACCACAAGTTCAAGACATAACAACATTTATCAGCCAGCGCGTGGGTTTGTTTTGCAGATCACCCTCAAAGAGTCCGCTTAGTTATTGTCTCGTCATTTTTTATTCCAACATAGTGTGGTAACATAGTAATTAAAAAATTATGCTCAGTAGCTCTTGTAGGAGGGTCTCACAAACGGACCTGTAGATAGATTTACAGTTTGACTATGAATGAGCCAAACTCGTATAGGTTTTCGTCGGGTCCTAGCAAATTATCTGTACAAGCAAACGCGAGTAGAGAAGTTATGTAGATCCAAATAGAATATATCTATGCCATTTTGTACCACTGAGAGGTAAAGGTTAGAGAATGAGCGCGTCTATGAGTCGTGACGGAGACGTTCAGATAAGATTTGTAGCTGGTCATTATTAAATATAATAATGCACACCGTTCTCGGCGTACACCGTTGTCGATGACGCGCGCGACTGGAGCCCATCCCCAGCAAAACTGATACACTTACTAACTGCTCTAATAGAACAAAGTTTCATAGAACAACAATTGTGCGGCATAACCGCACGAATATCCGTTGTATTTCCTATAATAAAAATTAACGAATTCGAGGGCTCAATCGCAAACTGTTCAATGTTGTTACTATGAGAACGTTCGGCTGTCTGCACGTTCTAGTACGAGGAGAAACGTGCGCGTGCATGAAATACAAAAAAAAATTTCAGAAGTTTTTCATGCGCATTTCTTTGCCTAAAATCTTTTATAAACTAAACAATTGGTTTTATATGGATATATTCATTTCGACCCTAGGAGAGACTGCGGTTTCTTGGCACGTAATAAAGTGTCTATGTACTATTGAATTTGAGACGAATACTTTCTTCGAAGAAAACATTTCAAACACATAATAGCGATTATTATAATGTAACGGCATGGTAAGCTGGCATTGAATAAAAATGAATAAGTTTCAGTCAACTCGCGACATTATCTTTACGAGTATGGAACTTGACCTTCTACGCCACCAATTCAATTAAAATGAGTAGAAGACTCCATAAAATCCCGTAAAAGATAATATGCGAAAAAAAGGTAAATACAGGATCTTTGTTAGCCAATTTAGCTGGGTTCGGCTCCAGCAATCGATAATAAACAACGAATACAGTTTCATCAATTAGCCCGAAGACCGGTATGTGTAAATTGGAAAACTGAGTTTTCTAGGTGACGACAACCTTAATCCTAGCGGTAACGGGCGCCATAAGCATCCACGATTGGCCTGGCTCAATAAAATTGCTCAGCTGGCCTATTTTCAGCTGATACCTTGCTGTTATCGAACACTGGAAGGCTCAATTCGAAAACTGCGTAGCAGTAGACCAAGTTGTTGCTTCTCCATTTACTCGGCTGATTCCAGATCGTAGGAACACCGAATGGAATAATTGACCGGCGGTAGACAATATATAAATTCCCGGAAGGTACGATCCTGATTTAGGGATAGTTTGTGGCACTACCAAGGTTTTAGCATACTGGCTCAATTGAAAATCCTTTAAAAAAAGAGATAAGAGGCAAAATATTTAGGGCCATATCCCCTCTTTATACTGTATCAACCGAATGCTCAGAACTTCACAGATGGAAGGTTTTATGACTTGTTGGTTTCCCATTGATTACGTACATAACTTAGTAAATTTCTCACAAGCTAGTTCATTATATTAGACCGTCACTGGATTGCGCTAATAATTTTTTTTAATATATGTAATGACTGAAACAACGTAAGTGCTTTACGATTTCTGTGATAAACAAGCAATATCGTACTACAGGATTTCCTGTAGACTAAGTTTTTGCATCGAGCCTGCTTAGGTCTCCTATATTTTCTCTCCAATGTGTGGTTCGTTGACGCTCAGTGAGCTATTTCATGGGTCCTGATTTGCGGGGCGATATGTTACTTGACGAGCGAATCTGCTTAGATGACACTGGCCTATTTGGAGGACAGCTCCACCGCAACGGCTTGTCCCAGCCCGAATAGTAGGAACAGCTTCGAAATAACACTGTGATCTAAACAAGATGCTCCTTTACGATTATTGAAGATTTCTGGTAAGCTATAAAAAGTTAATGTTATAATAAACGACACTAATTAATTGTATCTACGGTGAAATGTCTGAGGATCATAAACGCATTTAACTCTT